GAATCAAAAACCAAACCATCTCACTGTAGAGATTACAGCTCCTTAGATCCAGAATGGGCCTTGAACCATGTGTCACACAAGAAAATAATATAGGAAAAAAGGATTATCAAGGATCCTTTGAGTCATTGAGTCCTATCCCACATTCCCATTTAATCAGGGATTATACATAATCCCAAAGTGTCCTCGAAGCCTCTGTTCCACAAACCCTCAGCTGCAGACACCTCCCTAACACGCTGCAGCAAACCCTAGACCCAGAGCCATAACTGTAGCTGCTTCAGGGAGAAAACAGGAGGAATCAAGGGCACCCCTGGTATACTGCAGCTTTACATGGTTGCTAACATATGTCTAGCAAAACCAAGTTCCCCTCATCATGTGGTGAACAAAAAATACCATCTCCAGATTGGTCATGAGAAAGAAGCTAACAAAAACGGTCTGTGCAAAAGTCGGTCTAGATTTAGCAAATATGTTTCTGACTGAGTTTCTCTTCTCTTAGCTTGGATCAAAGTCCATGCTGTTCATCAAATATTTTGGCATTGTGGGAGGTAGAGGTCTGTGCTGAGGGTGATGAAGAGAGGGCAGCCCTGTGGAAGTAATGGGCTCGATGGTCCCTTCCTCGATGGTCTCTTCTTCTCTTATTAGCTCAGGCTCAGCTGTTTCCACATTTCCAGACTGAAAGGAGAGCTGAGAGAGGGGTCTTTTATTTCCTCGGGGACAGAGACATCATCAATTATCTGCTGTTCCCTGCTGCAAGCTGTCAGTGAATAGTGCAGAGAAGAGTACTGATAGGATTTCACCTTATCCCTTGACTCACTGTTGGGCTCATCCTTCAACTGCCGTGCACTTAGCACGGGCAGCACTAATTATATTAATTATACTTCTACACAGGGCATGCTTATATTAGCAGAAAGGAGACTGGTGTCTTTTTAAGATGAAGCATCAGTGGTTCATTAGCTATATAGATTTAAAAGTGTAAGTGTACTCATTGCAGCCACTGCTGGAGTGGATCTCTCGAATTGCAAAAGCATTTAATACCAATTTAGATGTGCAGTACACTTTATATTGAGAGCAAAATGTATGCCATATCTAGAAGACGGTAGCATTATATCACATAACTACTAAATGTAGACTTAGAAACTTGATCACTGCTTTGGCATAGCACCAGAGTCCCCTTAGCAGTGTTCAGCTGCAGGGATACCAGTCAGGTCACTAAGAGATCTGGGCAAGTCCTTTTGGGCTGAGCACTATTGAAATTATACTAGCAACTATATCCATGCATATAGTCAGGATAATACTGTATTATGAAATTCAGAGGTAAGTTTATTTAGTTGATAGCACAGAGGCCTGTGAATGATTTAAGAGGCAGGAAAATAAATCCCCCTCAACAAAATCTATTATAATGTGACAGATACTCATCACTCAAAGTGTATTTGCTAGATGTAGGTATCATAAATAATCCATTGATGCAGTGCCTGTGTGCAGCCATTGTCTATGTGAATCTGGGCTAAGGAGCTGCTGCTGCTGCTCTGCAGAGTCAGTGTGATGTTGTGAGGTCAGTGGGAAGCATCTGAGATGTCAGCAGTATAAGTTTAAATCTTAAGAACAGATTGTGTTTGTACAATAGGGTCAACCTCTAACCTGAGCAATGGAAAATAACTGAACAGAACTGTGAGATTTCATCAGTTCTGACTCTGTTACCTCCTTTTATCTCAGTTTTCTTCTGTACAGAAATTAAACATGCATTATTCACCAAGATTATATATAATATATAGGGAGAGGCCACAAGCCTATCTGGGCTCTGACTTCTGACCATTTTATGCAAAAGCAAAGCAAAAGTAGCTCCAGGCAGGTCTTCAATTTGCATTTCAATTGCACTTCTTGCACACTTCTTTCTGGTATCTTGAGGAAAGTCAGCTACTAAAGCCTTACAAAGCCATCCGAGTGCTTGAGCAAAATAAAGAAAATAAATAAGTACATTCCTTTTCCAAAATTATTTATTTTTTTAAGTTTTCTCGAAGGAAAAGAAAACTGAAACAGTTCCACTGTGTCTGCACACAGTCACACATGGACGCTAAGATTTTGTTCAGAGCAAAAGGCATTAATCTTCTGTTCACATTAATAGAGACTCATCATGCAGAAGATGTTAGCATTCTGACAACAGTTTTCAATCTAAAGTAATTATGTTTTTATAGACAGTGTGGCTATGATTAGCCCTCAACTCAAGTTTTGAGTTATTCTTTATTTTTTAAGGAATGGCTGATGTTTATGTAGTTAAATCCCTGACTGTCAGTTTTGTTTAGCTTCTACCCTCATAGGTGTCCAGATGCTGTTGGAGACTGTGTGTTAATCATCCTGTCAGGTGGTGCAAGTGCTGAATGCTTGCAAGGGATTTTCTGCTCCTAGGCACTCTGGACCTGACTTTTCATGCAAATCCTTGTATATAAATGGGAGCCTACAGATTGCAGCCTGTCTTAAGGTTATTTGCAAAACCATAGGGAACTTGATGCACAGATCCCCAGAGTACTGTGATCAGATGATTTCCACTGTGTTTCTCAGGAGCTGATTCTCGGTGGAGTTTGAATTATTAGGCATGGGAAAACCCTGTACCATCTCCAGGGGTGTGAGATTTGACCCTGGAAGCTGCAAAATGCCTTCTGGCAAGTGCCATGCTGAATATCAGCAAGCCTGACCAGAGTTAAGCCCTACAGAGGTATGCTGAGAGCCTTGCAGAGACTGGGATGACTGTAGGGCCAGGTTTGGGCTCTGATTGACCAAAGACTCAAGGATCTCCAGCTGTGGCTGGAGCATGTTTATTCCTGTGTGAGTTAGCCAAAGTGCATCCTCACTGCAGTTTCCTCTGAGCTTGTGTGGAGCAGCTGCTCCTAAGCCTCTCCAGCTCCCACCCTCTCCCCTGTAGCTCCTGGCCATGGGTTTCTGCTCAGCACAGGTGCTCATGGTCCTGGTCTGCCTGAGAGCAACTTCTCTGTCCCAAAGGTTTATTCTTGCTGGGTTTAAACCATCTAAGTTGCATGGGCTGCATCCAGGCTAGGCCAGGGACATTAATGGTGAAGTACTGTTACGTGCTGGCCACAGTGGAGGAGAAAACTGTCCTGGGCTGCAGCCCAGGTGGTATGTCTGAGCTGTCCAGTTAGGGGGGCAGCCCTCACTTCTGAAACAGAAAGATGTACACTGGTTTCTGTTGTGCGATAGAGAAAATGTCACATTACCACTAGCATTGCCAATGCTGGGACTGGAAGAAGTGTTTCTGGCAGAGCTCTTGCAGAAATATTCCTGAGAAAGCAGCTCCTCAGGCAATGCAGTCCCCTCCACAGAGAAGCAGTAGCTCACCATGGCACCTACTGCCATGTTAGGGTATTTGCCCATCTTAATGCTACAAATTAAACATCACTGGGCAGTGCACAATGTTTCCTGGCGTATTTGCTTTCTGTGGCGAGTGTTTGCCGTGCAAGCACCACGTAGCTCTGGTGCTTATCTTTAATAAATATGTTCAGTTGTGAAGGCTTACATTTTGCAAATCTGTGGCCTTCACAAGAGGCTGCTTTTTGAGGGGCTTGCAATCATTCCTTGTCTGTGGGGATGAGAGAGTGGTTTAGACTCACTGTCACCCCCTCAGCCCTGTAGGTCATGGTTTCACAGACCATCAGCTCCATTGCCACAGCATCCTTCTTTTGCACCCTTGGCCCAGTTGTAGAAGTGAAATGAACTGAGGGCATGGGGCAGGCTCGGTCCAGCTTTTAAAATAGATGGGGAAAAAACTATTTAAAAACCTCTTTTTCATTTTCTGTCAGGTTATTTTTAAGCTGGCCTAGTTTCTCAGTCCATTTCGCAGCACAATGGCATCAGCAGCCATGCTGACATCCCAGGAAGGACAGAGGCGATGAGGATAGGTCCTGTGGGATGGGGGAGCTAGTGTCTGGCAGCACCCACTGACCAGTGACCTCTTCTCCAGCATCCCCCTTCCCTTGCTGCTCCCTGCCCTGCTGCCTGGCCGCTGCTGGCTATGGTAGTCCTCAGACACATCAGTGAGGTCGTTCCTCACAAAACCAAGGCAGCAGAAAAATCAACTTAATTGTCTGCTGAGGGCAGAGACAAGGCAAACAGTGGATTCTGAAGTAAAGGAAGAGGGAGGCGTTCCCCTTTCCCCTCGTGGCAGCTGATGGAGCTGCTGTGAACCATGGCACTTCTTCGCTGTTTATTTGTGGATGGATTGAAATCACCTTAGTTTGGTGCAGATGCCAAACTGGGCATTGGAAATAAGCACACACACACACACACACACACACAGGGCAAGCGCTTCCTCCTTTCTGAAGCCCCCCCTGGACACATGAAATGCAGAGCATACCGTGCCTGGGGCTTGTTTACTCCTCTGTTTTCCTTGTGGAGAGCATCCCTCTCTCATCACGGCATGTTGTGGCTGTGTGTACACCCACTGCATCTTCCTTCTCAGCAGCCAGGCAAGAACAGCTGCAGGGAAAATGAGCAAGGATCAAAGGGGAGCTGCAGGACTTGATTCATGCTGAATGAACCCTCTTTTTTTTATTATTGTACGTAATCACACTTCCCAGTGATGGTGGCTGTCCCCTAAGAGCTCTGCAAGCTCCCAAAATAATTTTCAGGACACCCTGATGTAGCAGATGAGGACACTGGGGCTGGGGATGAAGCATGCCAGGCATGGAAGAAATCAGGGATGGCACTGGGATTATCACACTGAAACATCTGGTTTCTAGTCCCACATCCAGACCCTCTGTGTGTCTGGTACATTTTCAGTGGACCTTGGGCTGTAAGTCAGAAGTTAAGATTGGACCATTTTGGTTTTGAGTGGGGATGATCTGTCAACACAAACAGATTTGTGCCCTGGCTCACAGTCCCTCATAGGGTTCAGATACCCCTTACTGTCACTGATGGACACCAGGCTGTCCCAGGCACACCACCTGCCTCTTACCCTCCATCGTCACTGATATGCTTTCTGTTGTTTTTCAGGAGAATCTTCCAGGCTCCCTGAAATCATGTCAATAGGATCGCATTCATTCTCCCCAGGAGGTCCTAATGGGATTATTAGAAGCCAGTCCTTCGCTGGCTTCAGCGGGCTTCAGGAAAGAAGGTCCAGGTGAGTGCTGTGCTCTCTAGGGGGGGATTTCAAAATCAGGCCCTAAGGGAGCCTTGGGGTTTGGGGGGGGGTGAAGGTGGAAAGGTGGCAAGAGAGGACTTTTTTCTCTCTGACTTGCCAAATAAAGTCTCCCAGGCTAAAATGTCTCTCTATATTGTTTGTATAACTAAGCTGTTACCCTCTGACTGAGCTGCCAAGTGCCTGTTTGCCTCTCCCCCATTAGTGCAGGGCTTCCTCCCCTGCCTCAGTGCTGTGAGACAATTTCAGAGAATCATTTTAACTTTTAATTTATGCAGTGATCTTTTCAACACGTGAAGTGTTCAGGAACATGATGATACAGTTCCCAGTGCCACCAGATTAAGACCACTGCTAAAAGACAGTTCACTCATTGCTGCACTGCTATGAATTCTAAACAGCTCCACTTCCCTAAGCTTAGTTGCAGAGCCTTTCTGTGCACCATCCTTTGGCCAGGCAGGGCTTAGGGCTTGGAGTCAGGCACTTACCAAGTCATTCAGCTGCTGATGCCCTCAGAGGCTACTTTACAATTAGTTTTAACTTGTGTAGTTTCCTGTGCCAGACCACCAGTTAGCAATGAGGAGGAATGGCAGGCAAAGAATCACCTCCCACTGTCAGCCCAAGTCAGTTAGATGCTGACCTATCCCACAATAAAGTCACCAATGAGGTGCCTATATGCAGCCCAACTGTCCTCCCTTTGCCACGCAGAGCTACCTATGGTCCATACTCAAGACCTGTGGTGTGATGCTGTCCTCCAGAAATGCTCTTAACCAAGGTCCAGTTTTCCTTAGGACCCCCCAAGCTTTACACCTGAGCTTATCTAGGCTCCCCTTTGTTATCAGCACCTGGATGTAGCTTAGTTCTCTCATGGCTGTTGCTAAACAGTGTGAGTTAGGACAGGCATGGTATAAGACAGGGAAATGTCTGATGAGCCTCAGACTCAGCAAGATGTTTGCAGACCAGCATTTATGTCTGGGGAAGGCAATGGGCATATGAAAAGCTCACAGCACATGTCCCAGGCTGCTCAGACTCTTAACCTGTACACAAACGCAGTCCTTTAACTGGCAGGCATAGAAGCAAATTAATTTCTCCTAGCAGAGATAATATCAGAAGATTTCTTTAAGCCGTGCTCCTTTGAGATTTCTATGATTTATAGGGATTTCTTCCTCTTTGATGTTCATTTTGCAGGTGTAACTCCTTTATTGAAAATTCCTCTGCGCTCAAGAAGCCCCAAGCAAAGGTGAAGAAAATGCATAATTTGGGCCACAAGAACAGCACCACGCCCAAAGAGCCCCAGCCTAAAAGGATGGAAGAGGTCTACCGAGCCCTGAAGAGTGGCCTGGAGTAAGAGCCTTTATCCTGCTTGTTGATTGAAGCTTTCCGTGACATTTTAGAGCCGAGAGAAACATATCACAAGAACAGGGATCCTTCCTCATAGGAGAGGAACATATGCCTCTTGGAATCTGGATCCTAACAGGATCTGAAATATTTGTATGGAAAACAGGAATACAGGGGGCAGAATCCCATTTCCATTCACATTTCAAGGAAAGCTCCTGAAGTCTGAGATTTCAACGTTAGATGTTTTTCCCCCTCTGAATTTCCTAGAGTCCTATCAAAGGCTTGTATCACCTTTCAAATAACATCCCAGATGACAACAGGTCTTTTATCAGCCAGGTACCAGGGCAGTGACTGGAAGACACCAGCCCATAAACTAAGTAGCAGATTAGCTTACTTGAAACTGGTTGTTCAGTGCAAAGAGAACATCAAGCTCTTATACACAGATAAATAAGTGGCTCCTATCCATTCCCCAAAAGGCAGCAGGGAGCTGCTTTTAAGACGGATCAGTGTAAATGAGTTTTTGTCTGTGACCACATCCAGTGAGGAAAGCCATTTGTTGGGCAGATTTTCTTTTAGGATGGTCATCAGCCAGCGCGGTATGTACTGCAGAGCTCATGAATCCCCTCTCTGGTTTGTGTTTGCAGTGAGTATCTGGAAGTTCACCAGACAGAGCTGGATAAGTTGACTGCTCAGTTAAAAGACATGAAAAGAAACTCACGCCTGGTACGTGTCATGCTTTTTCATCATGTGGATGCACAGTGACCTTCTTGAAGTGCTGGAGCAGCCATGGGAGTGGTGGAATACAGGGAATTTGCACTGATGCTCTTCTTCCCTTTTAGTCATGGTCTTGTTTGTGATTTCTGTTGACTGGAAAATGTTACTTTATTTTGATGCTGTTGTGTTGCAAAATTAATCACAGTTTCATGTTTTCTGTTTCAGGGAGTGCTGTATGATTTAGATAAGGTATGTTACTCCCTTTGACACTCATCTTGCAAGGAGGCATTAATATCCGTATGGTGTACGTAGCTGGTGGGGGACACCTCTATCAGCCAGACCTACTAGCCATGCCAGCAGTGTTGAGGGAGAAGCTGCCTGATAATTCACACTTACAAAGGAAGAAGTCCCTTGCTCCCCTCCTCTTTCCAGGGATTCTGGTATTGCCCAGCACCTACACCAGCCAGCTGTGCTTACTAGCTCAGCATCAAACACACCCCATCAACCCTTTTCCTCAGGTCTTTTGCATCAAACTGGCTCTGGGTTGGGCACAGGGGAAGAGGCAGACCCCTGCCAGGGAAGGAGGGAGGTGGAGGAGTGAGACCTCCTATTTCTGTCAGCTGACAGTCATTAAATCCATTGCCTTGTGCAACTTTGCCCAGCTCCCGGCAGATGGGGGCTGGCAGGGGCACACTGGGGGGCCTGGCAGGGCCGGGTCAAGCCCCAGTTCACTCCTGCTCCTGCCAGTTCTGATGAAGGAAAAATGGAAATTATTTTTCCCCGCAGGAAAATTTGGGTGAAACAAAGGAAAGCTTTCAAAAATACTTCTTGAACAAGTCTGACTTTTTTTTCAGTCAAAATGCCAGGCTTGGGTTTACTGTCAAAAACAATTTGCTAAGGAAGAGAATGAATTTTGGCATGCAAAACCTGATCAATTTTTGTAAAGGATTTCAAAGTACTGAAAATATTATTTTTTTAGGCTAAAAAAAGCTCTCATTTTTAAAATTTTCTTTTTTAATAATTAGAAAAACCTAGATAAATCCCTTCAAATAAAACCTATTTTTTTGCTTAAAAATATGTATTAGGTACAGAAAGTCAGGGAGCTCCATTGTCAGCAGCAGCTTAACAGTAGTAAGGTGGGGCAACTGATTCATGGTCAATGAAATCCTGTGTGTTTTATGGAGGAGTATCTCAGATCCATGGGGAATAGCAGAGCTAGTGTGGCAGTGTCTTACTGATTTATTGAAATGTGCCTCACCCTCTGCCTTTTCCTTTCCTTCAGCAAATCAAAGCGGTCGAAAGATATATGAGAAGGCTGGAGTTCCACATTAGCAAGGTAATGAGCACTCCTATCATCTTTCTTCTGCATCTGTTCCTATGTTTTTAGGAAAACAAACCCTTGGCCTCCTGCTTACCCCTCTGTGCTGGGGAGGCTGCCTGGACAAAGCCACTCCCAGATTTGGTATTTTTTCCTTGATAGGCTGGTGGTTGGAGCCAAAGAAAGGGTTTCCATGTGGCTTGTAGACCCAAAGGTCCAGCCATGCCCTGAGGCACTCCCTCATGCTTTTGGGTACAGAGAGAACATAGGGTCAGGGACGTGCTGGGAAAAATCTATCTCACTGCATGCTTATTGTTAAGCAATAGGTAGAAAAAGAGTTGCATCTGAAAGTAATTTAGTTCAGCAGTTATCTCTAGCATACACAGCAGCTAGTTTGGATTTATTCCTGGGTTTCACTGCTAATGCTTTTGCTGCATGGTTTGAGGCCCACATCCACTGGATTACATTGGTGAGAATATTCGGTAGAGGTACTTGTGATTTACACTAATACATTTTAAGGCTGGACAAAATCCATGGCATGTATTCTCTTATAAACATATCTGCTAGCGATTAGTTGCTTTTCTGAGCCTGACAAAGGAATGAATTATTTTTGATGTATGAAATGTCTTTTGAGAGTCATTTGAAAAGCGTTTGCACAGCTTGAAGTCCTCCAATTATGACAACCCATCCAAACCTTTTAATTTCAGTCTTCTCTTACTCTTAAAGCCAAAACTAAAAATATAAAATCACAAGGCGATAGACTGAAATTTTGTTCCCCAAACCACCTTCTCACTTGCTGGCAATGTGAATGGCAAAAATTAGTACTTGAAGAACATTTCCATTCAAGTCCTTCCCACTCCATCCTGCTCAGAGCTAATGGTTTCTGGAGTTACAATAGGACTGAAAAGCACCAAACGCAAGAGGTAACGCTGGTCAGTATTACTCAGGCTTGCCGAGTACATTAGTTCACTTTCTGTAACCCACAGCAACAGAGACAAAAGGAATTGAGCTATGCAGTGTTAAAGCTTATGGGCTTGGGCACGTAAAGAAACATCTTTGTTTCTAGTGATAAAGAAGGTCTTCTTCAGTGGCACTTAAATCAGGGCCACAGAGATACCTTCTGTTCTCTACCTGCCACTGCTCTGTAGAGGAAGCAAAGCCAGGAAAATGGGTTGTGTAACAGCAGATCCTATGTATTCAGGGAGCAGATGAACATGTCCTAGCCATGCTCACATGGGCAGGAGCAGGACACTGATACCAGGCTAATGCTCCATCCTGATGGCAGAAGTAAATACCAAGTGACAGCTATTTATAGTACCTGTCTTTAGCTTGCTGACTTGCAAGAGAAATAGGAGTGGGTATGACTCCAGTAAGTTTATTTCATAATTTAGAAATGGCAGAATACTACCTGGACCTCCATTACCCTTTGCCAAACTCTTTCATTTTGCAAAGCCTTCCCTGTTTTGATTAGGGTTCCCTCAAGTCAGACGCTCTGGACACTGCATATCCAAGACAACCTTGTAAAAAGCAACCGAAGGCTTTGGAGCTGTCAGGAATATCAGCCCCGTTCCAAACAAATTAGCAACAGCACTTTTTGTTAGAGGTTAAGCAGGCTTGGAAAATGGGATTTGGAACATGCCTGGATTGTCACATCAGGCTCATCTCTAATGCAGCAACACAAAGTTGTAGACTGAGGAAGCCAAGGCACTGGATGCTTACACACAGAGAAATTCTGCTATGAAAATCCACTACTGAGCAGAAGCACCGTGGGGCACAAGGTGATCGTTTGATGTCAGAGATAACTAGAAGAACATTTTTTCTTTGTTAAAAAACAAATATAATCCTCTTCCAGCAGGGACATTAGAAGCAGAAAGAAGAGACAGCTTCTTGTATTTGTCCTTCTCACCCTGATAAAGTCAGGTTAAAAACCCCATATCTCCTGTATCTGGCAGATTAAGTTTATAAAAATATATGTCACTATATATATCTAATGTATATATATACAGACATATATACACCAGCTGTACCACTGTAGACTCCTCGCAAACAACTCAGGTGGAGTAAATGTATACATTCAGTGCAGGGATTAAAGGGGAAAGGGAAACCATAGCATGAGATGTGTGTAAGTCTATTGCCCTCTGAAGCTAGATCCAGGTGAGTCTTTAAACAGTGTTTGACTGTGTTTTGCCAAACTTCCAGAATGTCTGTGAAATGGTGGGTGCCTAAGTCATGTCAAAGGAGTTTAAAAAGGTGACTAGGGAAATATGTAAATGCCTGGGTGGTTGAAGTTCAGAATCCTTTTTTAATTTGACATCAGCTGTTTGTAAGCCCTTTATTTGTGCTATTCTGACTATGACTCCCAGTTTCTGATGGATGGATGGTGAGAGTTCAAAAAATCACTCCTGGCTTCCAATTCCTGTTAGTCAAATACTGCAAGAGCCTTGAGCCATGGCTGACATTAGGGAAACTGAAGACACTGCTGACCCTGCTAAATGTGCCATTTAACCCTGTCCAGTCCCATTTGGCAGTGTGGACATTGCCGTTGCCTTTGAAAGAGCTCTGTCACACTGATGTATTTGAGAAGTTTGCTGCATGCCTGCCTCACCATTATGATTGTATAGAGAGTACAGTTGTGCTCAACCAGATGGGGAGAAAGGGTGTAGCAATGCTACAGGCATTGCAGGGTAAGCAGGTGAATTGCTGGCAGCATCTACTGTTGCTGTACTGAGATTTTTACAGTGGAAGTTATTTTTATCCTGTGTTTCTTTTTCATAGACTGTAACAGTATCACAGCTTCATTTCCTCAGCCCCTTCATTGGATCTAATGGTTTGGCTGAGCTTCCTTTTAATGCAGATTACTTCATTGCATTGGTTTTATTTTGCTGGGTTTTTTTCAATACACTTTCCTTGTTTCCCCTAGGTGGATGAGCTTTATGAAGCCTATTGTATCCAAAGACGTCTCTGTGATGGTGCCAGCAAAATGAAGCAAGCCTTTGCAATGTCTCCTGCCAGCAAAGCAGCTCGGGAGAGTTTAACTGAAATCAACAGGAGTTACAAGGAGTACACAGAGGTACATCCTCATCAGTTCATTCTTTTCACTGTCATGCTGTTTGAAAGCCATGGGAACTTTGCCACTCTCATCCAGGTAAAAGTAGTAAAAGCAAACTCAGCAAAGAAGACTTACTATTTATTCATTTGTTTTCAGGTGAATACCTGATGGCTTACAGAGACAGGTTACATGGGCCCAAAGAGTCTCTTGAAATAACTGCTCATGCCTTATGAGCACAGGGTTATACCCAGGAGCTGCAGCACAAAAACAAAAGTGTAAATCTGCCCCAAACCTACTTATAGCCCAACTACCTCCTTCCCGCCCCCAGATTTAGGGATGGCAGGTTGACTGGAACCCATGTGTATACAGACATGTGCTGCATCATACCTATTTTACTTGCTGTGATCAAGATCTATTTTATTAAACAGGCAGTAGATGAACAACAGTCTAATGGTGTTGCAGACATCCTGGCATACAAGCTGTGACAACCTTCCAAAATATGAAGGAACTGGAGAGGGTCTAGTACCTGTCTCCCACAGTCTTTTTTTCTTAATGTAGTCCACGTTACTTGAGAGATTAAATCATGCTGGGAGCCACTTTGGCGTGGAACTGCTGTTGGCTCATGTCCTGGCTGGAGAAGACCGGGACAGTGACCAGGTTATGTTCCAAGGGCCAAGCTGCCCTCTGCCAACAGGAGGATTAGCATGCAGCAACAGAAGAACACAGGGTTGCATTCAGTGTTGGCACAAGCAGGCATAGCTCAGCTGCCATTTTTAGGGCCAGACCTAGCTAAACAGCAGGGCTGTTCATGGCTCTGAGATTGACTTTATTGCACAATCTCTTTCATTTGCATTACAGAATCTATCCTTTCAAATAGACTGGGAAAAAAAGACAAAAGGGGAAAAAAAAAAGCCCAAAGAGGGTATGTCTGACCTCACTCTTCTCTTTTCCAACACAGAACATGTGTACCATAGAAGCAGAGCTGGAGAACTTATTGGGGGAGTTTTGCATCAAGATGAAAGGTAATTGTCTTTTCACCTTTCCCTTCTTTCTCATAAACAGTAACAGTTGCTGAGCACATTGGTGAGAGTATCAAGACATGTTGTGTGATGTGTATTTAGGACAGGTGTGGTTCCCCCACTGCACATCCGTTGCTGAGCCTTCAAACTCCCAACTTCCACCCCTGCCCACTGGAAAGGATCACAGAAACGGGAACATCAAAGCTTACAGAGAGACCTTCTGAGATGCTGATTCTTGTTTTCTAGGCTAATTACCTGCTGCAAACACTCCTCCCAACAGCCAAAGCAATTCAGTTTTGAAGACTGCTGTACTCTTTGCCTCTATTTCAGTAATCTTTTAAGAAGATGACTAGGAAATTATGTGAAATTCTATGGAGCTGAAGTTCAAAATAGTTTCTTAATTTGACATCAGCTGTTTTTAAGTCCTTTACTTTTGCTAAGTGACTACTACTATTTTTGATCAAATGTGAAAAAAAGAAAAAACTGGGGGTAGTTTACCAAAATAACTCGGTGGCATTCACCTTCCCATTTTATTCCTTGTCTTTATGACAGGGGACTTCATGGGTTTGAATACAATGGAGTTAGTTTTCCCTGAACCCTCAGTGGATGATCAGGTATTGCTAATGCTGTTATCCCTTTAAGACTCGATGTCTTAAGGAAGAGATTGTGGGGGGGTTATATTTTTTGGATCTTCAATCACTGGCATGAAAATAGTTCCGTAAAACAAAGTCAGCATCTAAATATTCATGAACTCTTAATTCTACACTTGAAATCCTGCCATTTAAAACATCCACAGTATTGCTGGTGGAGTTTTTAGAGCACACAAATCTCATACAGGGTTTTGATTCTGCCTGCATTGCCACAGTTGTACTCCATGGTTGCACTGCATAAGATTAAGATTAAGATTAATCTTAGATAAAGTTAAAATAGCTACTCTGTGCTCTCATATTAGAGAAAACAAATGCAGCAGCTGTTGGAGTTCTCCTAGGTCCATCCCTCAGGTTTTAATGTCCCCATTCTTCAGTTCTGGAAAGGCAGTCAAAGATGCATAGATGTAAAGTTATTAGATGGACACAGAGAGACTGGGCCAGATATTTCTGTACAGAAACACACAGCAGAACTGCAGCATGGACATGCTGAAGGAAACACAAGGTCACGAAGTGTATAAAGGGAATTGCATCAGGCCAGGTCCCTCAGGGCATTTCTTTACTTGCTCTAAATGCAGTGCACAGTTCCTGACAGCAAGATGTGTTGCAGAAGGTGTCACAGTGTCAAAAATGGCTGGGCTGAAGAAGTCTGGCCCCTTCTCTTTTGTATGCCCAAATCCTTCAGCAAAACTCCAGGGCTCTTGAGAAGGCAGGTACTGCACTCACGGGAGCAGAGCATAAACCACAAACAACAGCTACTTCTGAACACACTTTGCATAACATAAAGAAGCTCAGATGAGAAAACAGCAAAGAGAAATGCCATATCGTTACTTTTCTCTAATTAGGGCATCTAAGATTTCTATCTAGATAGTTTTCCCTAGGAATAGGAATCCAGTAGGATAATCCAGCCATTGCTATTGCTAAGGCTCACAACAGCTCTAGCACACCAGCCTGTAGATCATGCAGCAAGCTTTCCCCTTAAGTTATACTGCAGCATATCCAGCTAACTTTAGGATCTAATTTAAAATCAAAGCATTCCTCTCCTCAAAGCTTATCTGTTCCTAGCCATTCCAGTGAAAGTTATTTTTATTTTGTGCCCTCTGTCACTTATACTGAAAGCAAGCCAACCTACACAGTGCTGTCAGGAAGCAGGGGAGCTGCACTGTGTTTTTATGACTGATATTTAAGGAAAAAGAAAAAAGCCTAATCATTTTTCAAAATTAAGATAATAAACTTGCAATCAGGCTTGGATTACTGCTCAGGATTAATTAGCTGTTGAAATTAAACAGGGAAACCCAATGTGGAAATTCTCATATGGAATTTTTGTGTCATGTTATGAAGTATGGGGAAGTGCCCCTCTACATGTGAGAAGTACCCCTATAGCTGTGGGAAGTGCCAAGGCAGCAGGAGATGAAATGCCCAGTTGTTTCATGAAAAGAGCAATGCACTGGCCTGGTGCACTGGGTGCTCTGCAAAGTGGAGCCCAGCACCAGAAACCACAGCCCACGAGTCCAACGTTCTACACACTAGCAGAGCTGTACACGCTGCATGAACTTTGGGTGGCCCTGCCACCTTATCACAGCCATGCAGTGACCCTGTCCCCTAATTACGTATGCTGACACTCCAGGAGCAATGTCCCATCCCATCTGCAGTACAATCTCAGCGTTTTTACAGAGGTGTGATACTTGAAATTCTATGATACAGGCACTAGTTCCTGCCATTTGTTTAGTCCCCAAAAGCCATTCAGTCACCAAAAAGTTGTTTCCCATGAAAGTACATATCCACTTTAGTCAAGTCAGTGTTTAGCCCTGTCTTGATCAGGCTGAAGAGACTTGACCAGCCTGGTTTGGCCAGTCACCCCTCACAGGCCTTGACTCTGGACAACATCCATATGGAGTTTTAAGCTGTGTTTTCCCCACCCACTGGGCAGAGAAAGGACCTTTTATCTTCCTCAGATGCTTTTGGTGGTGTGTCCCAGCAGAGATCAAATTCACTTATAAAAGCAAGCCTGGGGAGAGAGAAGCAGTAGTGGAGTGCTAGTAATCTTAAATTATTTATAAACAGTAAATAAATTAGAAAGGAATTGGTAATATGAGCTCTGTGCGAGGGCCTCTCTGTTCTGCTAAACAGTAAGATGAGTGAAGAAAACTCTTTTCTGGTCAAAGAAATGGAAGAGGTGGATAAACAAATCACAGGGACAGTCCATAATGCCTGCAGGAATCTAGTTGCTTCTACAGTCCAGCTATCTGGACTAATTCATCCCCCCAAATCCAACACTAGGGTTCCTCATACTTGCCTTGATTTTAACACACCCGTGTATGTTCAGTCATGGCATTTTAGGATAAATGCAGCCCAAAAACTCCAGCAAGTTTGTTTTCATTCCTTTCTCTGCCACAGGCTTTGTATGTGTTTTCAAGATGGTTTCTTTGGGCATTGCAACACTAGAGGCATAGATTTAGGCTCACCCAGGCAAAGCTGGGTACATTTTAATGTCAAAACTAGTGCAGTAGATATCTACTGAGGGTATCTGTGGGAAAGGAGAAGTTGCCTCTGTGGGAAAAACACCCAGTTGAATCCTGTAGAAGAGCAGCTCATCAGGCTGGGAGAGAGATGATAACTTCCCTAGGATTTCAGCATGGTTCTTCAGGAAACTTCCATTCCATGTGCATGGTGCCAATAGAGAAATAGCATCATTACCTCCTACCTTAAAAACAAAAAGCAACAAACAAAAGCAAAGATACATCACAAGTGCTTTGCTGTGCTACTTCTCCCCCTCTGGGGAGAAATGGGATAAATCTTCTATTACAGATGTCAGTCATGTTTTGTGATGCACTTACTACTGAGAGATACTCAGCTATTATAGCAATGGTAATGTTATGGAAATGCCAGACAGGAGGTGCCCCTCTCACTTGCTGTGTCTCTATGAAGATGTACTAAAAAGGAGTCTGTGTTAAAGTGTATAGCTCAGTCAGATTAGTGTTAAGCAGCAAGCACTACATGGTGATCAGCAGCTCACCTATACCTCATGATAATAAGGTCTGTAAGCTGAGTTTCTGAAGGCAGACAAGGCCAGAAAGTTGTTTCTTCTTTTTCTGTAACTGTTACAGAAAAGGAAACTTACGCAAGAAACCACAGCCCTGTGAATTTTATACCAAAAAAAAGAAAATGGAAAATGAAGATGGGGCTGTTGTGATCTGGAGGGTGCAAAGGCAGCAGTAAGAGGGAGGTTATGAACAGCAGCTGGGGGCTGCAGGGTGCTGTTTCTCTCTTCTGTCCAAGTATGGCAGTGGTGGCCCTGGGCACCCCATTGCACCTCACTCCTGTGCATAGCTGTGCTCGGCAGCCCAGGCCCTCCCACAGCCTCTCCATGTCTTTCCTTCTCAGGTCTGGCTGGCTTCGCTCGGCTCTGCCCAGGAGATCAGTACGAGGTAGGTCTGCGTTGGTTTATCGTTTATTTAATAGCAAAACAATCAAAAGGAAGGCAGATTTCTGCTGCTTTTTACATTGTGATGAATAAAACTTTTCACATCAGCACCCCAAGAAACAGCTGGTATTTTTCCTATATGTGCTCTCTGCAAAACCTTGTAGTTCTCTGTATGTCTGCCTTTGTCAGGGCATCTGTCAGAAGACCTGGAAATTACATTCAGGGCACTGGGTGATGAATATTCAAAGAACTGCAAGCTTTTTTTTTTAACTTACAAAAATCTTATTTGTGAAAGCCACTTCTAATTCCCCTGGAAAAAAACATATGCCCCACCCCATGCATGTAGAGCAAATTGGGCACACTCTTGCAAGCATCCTTTACTGGATGCTTAGGCTCTACTTCATCATAAGGCAGAGTAGCAGGAAGACACAGAATAACCATTCCTTGAGACCCACATGTTACCAGCTATGAGGCTGTGTCAGGATCTCTGGTCACTGCCATGTTTCAGGAGAAAACATCAGGAGCAGGTTAGTTAGAGACGGATTAAAATAAAAGCCTCCAGCTCTATCTTGTTCTATCAGAACAGGACCAACCCTGAAAGAAGTTTGCAGCAGCTTGATAATGGATCCACCCAACCAGTACTTCCCAGCTGTATTGATCATAGGTTCATTTGTTCCCACTCTCATTCCCTCTGAGAAATGTCTCCTGCCACTCGCACACCTGCAGCAGCATGTGCTTCCCTTGCAGGGCCGGTTAGTTGGTGCAGGTCTCTCCCAGCCAACCCTTCAGCCCAAAGTGAGCTTGCTGCTCTTAACATTTCTAATTGTGTTACTGCACTGTGGGTGTCATTCATTTCCATCACCCACCAGCCAAAGTCTTGCAGCTGGGGAGGTCACCTGCCCTCTCCCCTGCCTGGAAAGGTAGCAGATCCAGCAAGTTGTAGATGTTAGGAAAGACCATGGGGGCTTTCATCCTGCTATCCCAAATCTCCCTTCTCCTGCCACTTTCCCTATAAGTGGAAATTAATGTCTTGCAGATTTGTTATAAATCATCTAGTTACATGAAGGGGAAAGCTTTGGTGCATCAGCAAAAGGAGCAACTGGGAGAGCTAAGAGACACAGATCCTTCAGGGCAGACTTTTCCTTCTAACTCAGTGGGAAGCAGAACAGCAGCACCTATGCCACTAACTCTTCCAACCTTTCCCCAGTTCTGTTTCTGATATTTGTGCATCATGAGAGCAGATTCCTCAAGAAAGTAAGAGGATTTTTCTTTTTTAGATTTTCATGCGTTATGGTCGCCAGCGATGGAAACTGAAAGGGAAAATAGAAGTGAATGGCAGGCAAAGCTGGGATGGAGAAGAAATGGTTTTCCTCCCTCTCATTGTTGGACTGATCTCCATTAAGGTATGTATGCTGACTCCTTTGCCTGCAAGCAAGGCAGAAGTCAGGAACTTGCCTTTTCATGCACCATCAGCAAAAAACACAAAAGCAGATTGTTTAACTCTTTAGAAATGAGCCATCATTAGTATTTCTGACACACCTAGTAAAATGAAGTGCTATAGTATTGTTCAATTTAGATACTAAAGACTGGTCAGTTTGTAACTGCTGTGGGAGAGGTTTACTTCCTGAACCAGAGTCTTTCTACCACTGCTCCATCCCCTTGTTGTCCCTGGCCCCCCAAGACATTTTTCTCCTGACTGAAAGTCTATATACTTTCCTTCCATTAAGCCTCCGACCTACAGACAGCCATTCCCTGCCCTCTGTTTACAAATTGCTGCTAAAAACTATTCCAGGTGTCACTGGTTAGGCAGATTAAACAGAGGAGTGTCTTGAAAGTCTCATGGGAAATGGCCCACTGCAAAGACTATGAAAAAAAAGCAAGTGCTTACAAAACCACCACCAGAATACTCCCAAATGTGTGAGACAGTTGGTTGTCATAGAAAGGCAAGTTGTGACACACGGTGAGTCACTCTTCCCAGTTTAGGTTTAAGGTGGAAAGTTAGGAGAGAACCCCTTCTTACAGTACACTAGAATCCCAGCATTATTAAAGTTAATGTGTATATTCTCTCCCCTTTTTGATCTCTCTCCAAACACTTTAATGTAAAAGGTTCAAGAACTGACTTTCATGCAAATACCCAAAGGTTTGTTGGTGTAGGAGCTGCATATATAACTGTTGCTCTGAATTTTCAGGCGAGTGTATATCTAAGTATAGACAGTGCTCTACTCTTACTGTAACAACATATATGGAGGTGGTTTCTCACCAGTAGATCTTTGGAAGTCCTCGCCAAAGGCCATCATTGATGCAAATAATTACATGGCTTCAGAGTTACAAGAGATGAATACCTGGAAGAGAGATCTCTTGGGAATTATTAAGTAGGCAAGTTACATCAGGAGATACCCAGTCAGGAAAATTGTTAACTGCTGAGAGACTCTCTCCTGCTGAGAGGCTCTCCTTGTTCTCACTCTTCCCTGGGGCTCTGCTTATGATTACTGCAAAAGATTGGGTATCCCCTTGGTCTGAGCCAATATGGTGGTTCTCCTCTGACACTCATAAAAAAAACCATAAAGAAAACATAGAAGTGTGATCATAGACAGCTATGCTTTTATTAAAAAACAAAACAAAACACCCCCAAACCCCAGATTTTTCCCTTAGGTAATGCAACAAACATAACCATATTTTAGAAGCCTTTTAGCAAGGAGTCCAGGCTAGAAAGTCATAATTACTGCCATATGATTAAGGATCACAATACCTTGTCTGGTCCTAGGTATCCTGTTCTTGTCTCTTACAGGTCACTGAAGTTAAAGGACTTGCTACTCATATCCTTGTGGGAAGTGTAACGTGTGAGACAAAAGATCTGTTTGCAGCTCGGCCTCAGGTGGTTGCAGTAGACATTAATGACCTTGGCACAATAAAGCTGAACCTTGAAATCACCTGGTAGTAAGTAGAACTGGTTGGTGGGTCAATCAATCAATCAATCGATCAATCAATCAGCGGTAAAACTGGAGCCAAAGAGAAAAGGTCTGTCCATGTGGACTATTCTCTCCATTTTACTCCTTGCTGAGGAAGATTGGGAAGAAATTGTGGACTAACTTTTTCTTCTTCCCCAAGCTTAAAAAGGGGATATAATTGAGTGCTCATATATGTATTAACATTTTTTGTAACATTAGTGTAAAAGTCAGTTCTGGATTTATGGATTTTTGCTAGCATAGTGACGTTCAGAAGCTGGCCCATCTTTAAAAGCTGGCTTTTAAGGGCTTCATACAACAGAAGGGTGGTAGGAAATCTCCTAGAGTTCTCTGTCCGCGTTGGTCAGCATAGGTGAGCTGATGGCACTAGGATCCAAACCCAATTCTCACTACATTTTAATGAAATAGGTAAATGTCATTTCTGAAGGAGCATTGGTGCAATTCGTACAAGTTTCTTGTAATGCAATATACATGAAGCCAGCAATAACATCTCCTGGTTTCCTTTATAATGCAACAGCTCTATTAATGGTAGAGCACCTTTCTCATTAGTATGTGTGACACTTGGCAACTCTAATCCAAGAATACTTCTCATGTGAGAAAAATAACATCAGACTATGCTACATGAATGGTTTCTGAGTGAACACTTTCATCAGAACCGAAACCCACACTTCTGAGACTGCTGTCTAATTACCAACATTTTCTTTTAAACACTTCTGTTAAAAAACTTGCTACCTCTGGGTTTTGATGTGCTAATAAACCACCTTTTCAAAAATCTGTTCCATGGACCTGAAATTCCTTCTCACTCAGCCTAACAACCTTTTTTCCCTCTGCTTGTGTGTCCATAGCCCCTTTGATGTTGAAGACTTGACCCCATCCACAGGAAATGTGAGCAAGGCATCTGCTCTCCAGAGGAGAATGTCCATGTACAGCCAAGGCACTCCTGAAACACCAACCTTCAAGGACCACTCATTCTTTGTAAGCTGTGTTTGGCTTCATGTTTATGTAATGAGTAGCCCTAGAGCAGTTCAAACACTGCAAACACTTCATTGCTTTACACTGCAAAAGCTTCACCGCTTTTTTTCCCCAGTTCCAGCAGGTTACCCTTACAAATGCAAGTGCATTCCTAGCTGCTGATCCTAAAAGAAGGTGACTGTGATCCTGGCATCTTTGAAACTATGTGGCCAATTATTGCATACCTATGCTGCTTGCCTGACTGCTGTAATACTTGAATACTCTTTATAAAATGTGGTCTCATTTTGTAAGAGCAGTTAAACAACCATTATAGCACAAGTATTTTCAAGTATCCCGTGCTAAAATTTGCCCCTGTACCAAAGATATTCACGGGGTGCTCCTACATTTTGCTTGAATCAAATTCTGAATGCTTGATCAGGCCATCTGTACAGAGATGAATTTTACAAGTGCTGCATCCCATGCCTGTAATTTAATACTCTGCTACAAAGCATTCATTTAACTTGCCCTTCCTCACACCCTCTTTGCTTTAACTGTTGAAGAAATGGCTGCATCCCCTGCAAGACAGGCCAAAGTTGACAATCTTAGATGCTCTGCAAGACTCTTTCTTTGACAAGCTTCGTCGCAGTCGCTCTTTTAGTGACCTGCCATCGCTCAGGCTAAGCCCAAAAGCAGGGCTAGAGCTTTATGTGAGTCCTGTTTTTTGTTTGGTCAAGGATTTTTTCAGTCCCTGTGTGGCAACTCCATTCCCATGCATGCTTCATGTATTGCTCTCTGTTGCAACTCACTCATTTTGCTGACTGATTAGAGAGGAGGACATGACTGTGAGCCCATGCAGTTTGCATTAAATCAAAATTCCTCTTGGTTTCTACTGGGATAATGATCAGAAGTCAACTATCTGTGGGCAGAGAGTAGGGCAGGGGTGCAAGTCAACAATGTTCTTAAAAATCTCCTGCTACACTAATTGATGTTATACATTTGCCTAGTAACATGACTTCAGATGCTAAAAGCATACCTGTGTCAAGGGAAAGAAGAAATAAACCTTCAAGTATAATTATGTTTAGGGAAAAAAGCTGCTAATAGTGCTTGAAAAAAAGTGCAGATTTTGGACACTTTAACCTTATGTTAAAGCTTACTAATGTGTGAATGCCTACAGTTCTTTCTAGCAAATCGTCAGCAAAATAGTAGTTGCCTATCACCTGTACTGTGCATTCCTGTGAGTTGGCCATAGAACAAAGCAAGATCTATAGGTTGGATAGGCAAACCCTGACTCCTATAGTAATTTTTACCCATAGGTCAGTCAGAGATGAACA